CCCGGCAAGCTTGGGAGGCAGCCTTTCTACATATCTAGAGGGAACGTAAATTAGTACAAACCCTCTGCAAATCAGTTGGAGGTTCCTCAAAAAACTGAAAGCAGAACTGCCATTTGACCCAGCTATGCCATTCCTTGGTATATACACGAAGGAGTTACAGTCTGCATACTATAAGGATACCTGCATATGCATATTTATTTTGACACAATTCACAATAACAAAGATATGTGAACAATTTCAATGCCCATCAACAGATGAAAGGATAAAGAAAATGTGGCATATATATGCAGTGGAGTATTATTCAGCCATGAAGAATGAAACTGTGCCGTTATTAAGGTAAAGGAGTGGAAGAGGACATAAAAAGAATCAAGATGTGTTATATGCAGGTATCAAATCCCCATAATGAGGGAGAGCATGGTGGTGCCCATACTTGGCAGGTCACTTGACTCCTCTGTCTCGGTTTCCCCATTTGTGAAATGGGATGGTAACCATAATAGCAGTGCCCACACAGAGTGGCTCTGGAACCTCAGTGGAATAAGAGCGCCAGGCACACAGCAGCTGCTTATTTTGTTTGTCTTTTGAGACAGAGTCTCACTATGTAATTCAGGCTGGCTTTGAACTAACTTGCAGTGATCCTCCTGCCTCAGCCTCCCGAGTGGTAGGATCATAGGCATGCACCACCATGCCTGGCCAGTAGCTACTTATTGATTGTGTGTTGACTGAATACCTCACAGACCCAAAAGCAAGCCACTGCTGAGAGGAGGATAGGTGGTGTAAGTTAGCCCTGACTCTCACCATAAAAACTCCACTTTGAAACACCGGGCAAGCTCTGGGGGGTTCTCCTTGGTTAAAGCACCACAGTAAAATAAAGTTTCTCAGGAAATGATATGAAGCCAGGCAGGAAGCCTTAAGCCGGTCACCGGGGCACCTGATGGGTCCCTCCAAGTGAATTCCCCGCCTACCCTCCCCTGAGATAAACCACATTATTTTATCTAATTGCTACAAAGGACTGAAGACTTATGAAGGCTGCCCTCCGAGGGCTTTCTGTATCCCAGGAATTTGGGGGTTGCGGACCACCTGCGTGTAGCTATTATCACCCCTGCTTTGGAGCAGGAGAAACCCAGGCTCAGAGAGCTTACCCCAGGTCATTCAGCTGGCCACTCCACAGGGCCGGTTCAAACCCAGACTCCCTGGCTGCCAAGTTCATGCGCCTTCTGCTTCCTATGGTCCAAGATCGCAAAGTGAAGCGGCCACGGGTGTGTCTCAAAACACACAGGAGACAAATGTGGAGGCTCACGCCCTTGATCCCACCACTCCGAGAGGCTGAGGCGAGAGGGTAGAAAGTTTAAACCCAGCTTGGGCAACTGAATGACTTGTCAAGATGGTCTCAAAAAAGACACATAGAAGAGCTGCCTGAAACGACAGGGAGTACTCCAGCAACTAGATGTATGTTTGTTTGCTTATTTGTTTGTTTTTTGAGACAGTCTCACTGTGCAGCCGTCTGAGGCTGGCCTCAAACTCAGAATGATCCTCCTGCCTCAGCCTCTCAAGTGCTGGGATTACAGGTGTTCACACTACAGCCAGCAACTGCAAGTAGATTTTAAAACTTCTGCTCCACCCCGTGACTGAGGGATGGATTTTCTCCCAGCTGACAAGGCTGTCTGGGTTTACAGAAAGAGATCCAAACCGTTAGAGGAAAAGGAGACCCGGATCCCGGGTGTTCTCTCTGTGCCGGGCCCCAGCTGCACCCCAGCCCCTCCCAAACACTCCCGCAGGGAGGAGAGCGCCTGCTTTGCCTCTGGCCCCGAGTGGTTTCCCTTGGTGGGTGTGCGACACCGCTTGGGCGGGCCCTGCGGCTACTTCTCATTACACAGGCGACTCTAGTTTCTCTGCCACCGCAGCGCAAGGACAGGAGCCAGATTCTCCTGGTGCATGCGTGCGGTTTGGACGACCCAGGGGGCCCAACCAAGCACAGGATACAGAGCTGGCCCCGTGTCCCGGCCACCTCACTCACTGGTCATGTCACACCTGCTCTCTGCAGCGGCAGCGCTCCTCCTGTCCCTGGCCGGTAAGTGACAAACACCACCTTCTGTGGTGGCCCTGCCTGTCCTTTTAAACCTAAGTGGCTTCAGGTGCCCCTGGCCGCGGTTTCTGCTGCCTGAATGCTTAGCTCTCCAGCAGGGCGCCTTCAGCTTCCCAGAGGTCAACCCCAGAAGCCAGGACACTGCCCTGGCACTCACACCATCCCGGACATTGTATCAGGGGACGTTTGTAGAAATCACCTAGGTCTAGAAGATGGGAACCCCGCCAGAGCCCAGAAATGGGGCTGTCCCTTTGCGTCCTGTCTCGATTGTCCTGTTTGTCTCACCTGGGAGCGTTGTGTTTGTGTGATGTGACCAGTGAGCTGTGAAGGTGTATCAGTGTGGTCGGATCAGCCGCTCCATTTCACAGAAGTTCAAGCCAGGACATCGGAGGGTTTTGTGGGGTTTTATTGTTTTATTTTGACTTGAGTTTTGGGTTTTGTTTTGTTTTGTTTTGTTTTTTGTTTTTTGTTTTTTGTTTTTTGTTTTTTTTGAGACAGGGTTTTGCTATGCAGCCTAAGTTGGCCTCGAACTCACAGCGATCCTCCTGCTTCAGCCTCCTGTGTGCTGGGATTACAGGCTTGTGCAGCCACCCCTGTGGGAGGTTTTCAAAAATATGTAACCCTTGCACTTCTGCTCCCAGAGGATGCTGGGAAGCTGCGATTAGGGTTATGGGATGTCCCACGTCCAGGATGTCCACCAGAGCAGTTTCTCCCAGAACTCATAGAGTCCTCTTGGGCGCTGTTGCTCTATCCTTGTTCCCAAGTTCCCATCAATCCGCAGTTCCTCCTGCAACCGCTGCAGTGAGTGGGACAGAACCAGCTCCGTCTACACTGCCCGCAGACACAGGAGGCAGGGGATCTGGTGGCCCTTGGCCTGACACGAATGTTAGGATTAGGATTATCACAGGAGTGGTACGCCGGGCGTGGTGGCGCACGCCTGTGATCCCACCACTCGGGAGGCTGAGGCAGAGTTCGAGGTCAGCCTGGGCTACAAAGTGAGTTCAAAGCCAGCCTGACCTACATAGGGAGGCCCTGTCTCAAAACCAAGAACACAAGAGTGGTGTGAAGGGCCATGCCTGCCGCTCTCATCTGAGCTGCTTTTGTTTGTCCTGCACTTTCGCAATTCTAACCTCATGTTCTTTGGGGCACTCGAGAAGGAGACCTCAAGACAAAGGACTAAACAAATGCACCCGCATACCTCCCTAGGTGTAAACACCAGGGGTTGATATTCTAAGTAGGTAGCGATCACCTTGAAGAGTCCCTGACCCAACCCTTACAGGAAAATCTCCTGTTCTGTACCCACGCCTGCTTGCTTCCCCATTTGATCCCAATTTAATCAATTTTACCTGTACGATTCTATTGGCTAGCCATAGTTTTGTCCATTTTCCCCTACCTTGGACCCACCTCACCTCGGGTTTTGAGCTATAAAAGTCCCTAAAAAAGACAGAGCCCTGGGTAACCCACTCAGGCCCCCCTTTGCTCCTCTCTTGGACAGAAGCTTTCTTTCCCTCAATAAATATATTTTGCTCTTTAAAAAAAAAAATGCCAGGCATAGTGGTGCAGGCCTGTAACCCCAGCTCTCGGGAGGCTGTGGCAGGAGGATCATTGCAAGTTCGAGACCAGCCTGGGCTACAAAGTGAGCTCAAGGCCAGCCTGAACTGCATAGTGAGACCCTGTCTCAAAAAGACAAAAAATAAAAATAAAAATAACATAAAAAAATAAAAAAGAGAAGAAATGACTTCCTAGTCCTCCAGAAAATGAGAGGACTTAAATTTGTATCAGTTAACATTAGCACCCCCCGCCCCGCCCGTGACGGGGATTGAACAGGATAGAGCCTCGTTTCTCACGTGGAAACAAGTCTAGAGGAATTCAGACCAGTTCTAGCGCAGGGGCTCATCATCACGGCCCTCCATGCTTGGTGTGGCTTCCACCTTCAAGGCCCCCTCGTGCTTCTGGATGTCTGCTAGAGCTCCAGCCATCACTTACAAGTTTCAGGGTGGCTGAAGGATGAAAATCAGAAGGGCACTAGACAGACAGGCCACCCAGGTGACTGACACCTTTGATCGCCCTTCCCTGAAGCCCACACACCCCTGTCACTTGGCTACAACTCAGTCACACATTCCCACCCTGCTAGAAGAAAGATTCTTATTCCAGGCTACAAGTGCTCCGCTCCGATCCAGGGTTCTGTAGCTAAGGAAGAGGGCAGGACTGTATTTCAGAGCGGCCAGCAGCCCTCCTGCCTCAGGGCCAGAGCCTCTTTCCAGCTAGTGCGCCCTGCACTCTCTCTGCCGGCCCCACAAGTGCCCCGGAGGCCCCAGGCAAAGTGCTCAGGACTGAAATCTGGCTCCCGGTGCCTGGACGGGGCCCAGGGGCTGCAGTGGCTCACTGACCGTGTCCCTCGGAGGCCAGCAGAGCGAGCGTGCTGTCCACAGCAGACCAGGCTGCTCCCTGTTAACCTCCTCCGTCGCCCCGGCTCCTCCGTCCCCGCCTTCCGGTCCCGTCCTACTGTCCCCCACACACAAGGCCTGCGAGGCCTCCGTGCCTTTGCAGGCAGCCTCCCTCCTGCCTGGACCCCATGGCCCTCCCGTCTGCCCGGAGATCTGCTCCTTGAGCTGGGGGCCCACCCCACTGCCACAGCGCCCTGGGGCGACTGGATTTCTCCAGTGCTGTCACAGACAGAAGCGAGGACTGTTTATGCGTGCACCTCACAATGCTTGGAGCCCCACAAAACAAAGACCTGCCTAGTGTCCGCGTGGAGCCCGCCTCAGGGGAGGCCTCTGTCTACCTGGGGGTTGGGGGTGGCAGGAGACCAACCCAGGTCGGCCTGGGAAGGGACTTCCAAAAGAAACTGAAGAAGAGGTCAGCACGAGCCCCGGTATGGTCACCGGTCTTCCTGGGACTAGAACAACCTTCTCACATCTCTCCCGGAAGGAGGCTGCTGAGAGAGTCCCAAGCGGGGGATCCAGCCTCAGGGTAGTTTTTGTTTTGGTTTGGTTTTTTCTTCCGGTACCGGGAATCGAACTCACGACCTTGCGCTTGCCAGGCAGGCTCTGTGCCACTGAGCTAAATCCCCAGCACCTACCTCAGGCTAGTTTTAATCCTGGACAGCACGGTCGGGGCTGGAGGTGGGGCTGGCAGATCAGTGTGTGATCCCAGGGCTGTGCTTTTTTTATTTTTATGTTTTTCTTATCTTTTTGAGACAGGATTTCACAATGCAGTTCAGGCTGAACTTGAACTCACTTTGGAGTCCAGGCTGGCCTCAAACTCTCAGCGATCCTCCTGCCTCAGTCTCCTGAGTGCCAGGGTTACAGGCATGCGCCACCATGCCCTGCCGTGCTGTGCTTTTGAGTAGCGGGCCGGTTGAGACAGACTGGGAGCCAAGGTTGGCCTTGCTGCCCTCTGTAGGTCTCAAACAGACTGGTGACCTTGACCTTGACTAATCTCTGAGCTATTCAAACACCATCCAGACTTGACAGAGGTCAGATGTAAGTGTGGTTCTGTGCGCAGGTTTGGGGAAACACTGTTATACCCCAGGGTCACTGTGTACCTCAGGAGCACATGAATTGTCCGGGGTGTATACCAACGCACAGTGGGGTTACCCGCTACCCACCCGCCTGCCCGCGGCTCTGCGCTCCTCTCCTACAGGGGGCGGAAGGGACGGTCTGGAGGAGGCGGAGGAGAGGACTATAGCCCTGTATCTCTAACACATGTGAACTTGGTGCTTCCGGTCCAGCCTCCTGCCCGCCCAGCCTTCTGTTCACTGCCGCGTCGGTCAGCTTTCTCCCGCTGTGTAAAATAGCAGGACGGTCCGTGTGTAAGGAAAGACATTTATTTGGGCCCACGGTTGCAGTTTTCAGTCCATGACCAGCCGGAGCTCTCGCTTTGGGCCCCCATGGCAGCCCGTCATGGCTGAAGCTCGGGGTGGGAAACTAAAAGAGAGAAGGAAAAAGAAACTGGGGTCTCACAGTGCCCCCCACAGCCCCCCAACCAGTGAAGTTTCCTCCACTTCCTAATCGCACCAAGCTGCAGACACAGGGGCCTTCAGGAAACCAAAATTTTAGATCCAACTCTAGCAGCTGCCCGTTGCTCATCCCCGCCCCAGACCCGTGACTGCCGTGCCTTCCCACACCCACGCACCTAAGCACAGGACACCAGGAGTCTTCCCGGCCTGGGCCAGTGCTGTCCATTTGCAAAGCACCAAGTACTTTGTCCCTCTTTGTTTGAGCTCATTTATCACTACTGAAAAAGGAGCAATAATCTTGGAAGGGTCCCTGTTTTGAAGGGCATGCTACTCAGTTTAGGCATTCTACCCAGGCAAGAAGGTTAGCGTTAGCTCAGACATCAGCCACACCCAGTAGGATCACAGCCAGGATGGATGGACCGCCCCAGAGAGCCGGCAAGTGGCTGCTGGGCTCCGGAAGCTGGCTGTGCCAATCACGGCTTTTCGGGTTCTGGTTGGGTTCTTAACCAAGGAGCTGGTGACTCAAGTTTATCCCACATGAATTATGGAAATAAATCTTCAGAACCTGTTACAATAAATCTACTACAATCTTGCTAGATTGTAATCCCAACACTCGGGAGGCTGAGGCAGGGGGATTGCCACAAGTTTGAGGCCAGCCTGGGCTACATAGTGAGTTCAAGGCCAGTCTGAACTATATAGCAAGACCCTGCCTCAAAAAAAAAAAAAAAAAAAGTGGTACAATCTTGTAATGAAAATCTTTTTCGAAGTTTTATAACATGGCCATAAACGTCCCACAGGCAGAAAATCAGAATTTTTCTTCTGGAAAATACTCACCATTTTAGCACAAGGACATTCGAAGTCCTCATCGAGGACCAAGATTGTAAGGGTTTGTGAATTGGGTCCCTAGAGGACCCTCCTGTGTCCCCCGACCCCGGTGTCTCATCCCCAGCATTCTGCACAGTGACACCCTCCGCCTCTGCCATCCCCAGACCCAAGGACCAACCTGACTCACAGCTGCAGGGACTCCCTCTCAACTCCAACACTCATGAGTTGTACGACTGTGGTCAGGCTGATGGACGGGGCTTTTTAGCCTGGGTTCCCTTATTTGAAAGATACGTAGAGGGAGTTTCCGTCAGAGGCTTTTTAAGAAAAGTCGGGGGGAACAAAAACCCTGGAGTTGAAGCTCCTGTGTAGTAAGCATCGGGGAACCTGGAATTTTTATTGTTGTTTATTAATATGGCGGAAGTAACCATTAGAAGTGTATTGAGTGGAAGAGGGAGGTTGAAAGGTGTTATGGAGCCTTTTGCTTGGACCTGAGCTTTAGGACCTTGTGGAGAGTGGCACAGAGCCCATCCCCTTTCCCTTTCTACCCAAGCTTCCGCCCTCCACCTGGCTCTCACAGCCCCAATGAGAATGCACAGATACAATAAAGCCACAAATCTGAGGGGACAGCACTGTCACCCATGGCCTGATCACAGACTGTCCAGGCCATCATCTCCACCGCGTCCACTTCTCTGGATTGCCGTGTGCCTGGACGGAGGGAAGGACAGATCACGAAGGCTGAGGGAGCGATAGAGGGCTCCTATCTTCAAGGGGTGTCCCCAGAGAGAACCTCTGGTAGCAGTAGACCTTGTTTGTTTTCTTTTGTTTTGTTTTGTTTTTTGTCTTTTTGGGACAGGGTCTCGATATTCAGTTCCAGCTGGCCTCGAGCTCACTTTGTAGCCCAGTCTGGCCTCAAGCTAGCAGCGATCCTCCTGCCTCAGCCTCCTGAGTGCTGGGATTATAGAGGTGCATCACCACACCCAGATTTTTGTTTTGTTTTTTAACATAAGGATTTTTAAAAAATCTTTTATTGAGGGGGTATTTTTTTTTTTGGTACCAGGAATAGAACTCAGGACCTCCCACTTGCCAGGCAGGCACTGTGCCTCTAAGCTACATCCCTGGCCCTCAGTAGATGTTATAGGTGTTCCCAGCAGTCCTGATGCCTTTCACACATAGCAGTTCATTTGGGTCTTAGGATAACCCTAGGCCTACAGCCTATTATTTTTGTTTTTCCATTTAGTTATTTGTTCAACCAACCCATATTCACTGAGCACTTTCTATGCACTGGTGGTGAAAACAGTATTCACTGAGCACTTTCTATGCACTGGTGGTGAAAACCGTACACACAGTTCCTACCTTTAGGCGCCTCTTAACCTACTGGAGAGCTGAACAGGCAGCAATAAATCATAGGTGTCTCCTTCAGGGCTGAAATTCTGCTGGTACCAAGCTGAGCATTACACAGTTCAATGCAACCCCGCACGTAATTACAAATCGTGATCAGTGCAGTGAAAACAACAAAGGTAACAGAGATGGAGATCGTGGCGTGGGGATCCTTTTTACAGAAGGACAACAGGGAGGACTGGGGAGTTGACATTTAAGCCAAACAGGAAGGACAGGCCACTGGAAGAATAAGAGCAATCATATCTTAATTTTATTCCTTGGAGGAGAAAGACTGGGCCACTCAAAACATCAAGGAAGCATTCAGATTAGTCTATATTTAGAAAAATAATGAGTAATAAAATAAAAAAATGGAGGGACTGGGGATTTAGCTCAGTGGCACAGCACCTGCCCAGCAAGCACAAGGTTGTGAGTTCGATTCCCTATACTGGAAAAAACAAACAAACAAACAAACCAAGATAAAAAATGGAAAGGATTCTACTGTTAGGAAATTAGTCTCCTGTTGCGGGCAATGAGGCATGGATTTCATGAAGGTTCACAGGTAGGAGTCACGCAGCAGAGGAGGGTTGGACCTAGGTGATCCTTGAGACAGTTCATACCTGGGCTTATATGAGTCTATGAAAATAAGAAAACCCAGTAAACCTTTTTTTTTTTTTTTAAGAGCATCTTTTGGTTTGGGGGGGGCACTAGGAATCAAACTCAGGACCTTGCACTTGCCAGGCAGGTCCTTGTGCCACTGAGCTATATCCCCAGCCCAGAAAACCCAGTAAACCTTTATTCTTGTCATCCACGCTGCCCCAGCTCTGGCGGGTCACCGCAGTGTACTGGGTTGTGGTAGTTGTTGTTGGGTTTCACAGTTGAAGGTGGGAAATGGTAAGACATCAGCGTTAGCCATCTGGCTGAGCATGATCACTTTGGGGTGTTTCAGAACCACAGCCTGGGGGCTGAGCGTGGTGGCGCACGCCTGTAATCCCAGCACTCGGGAGGCTGAGGCAGGAGGATCATTGTGAGTTCAAGACCAGTCTGGGCTATCAAGTGAGCTCAAGGCCAGCCTGAACTGCATAACGAGACCCTGTCTCAAAAAGACCAAAAAAAAACCCAGAACCACAGCCCACGCAGACAGAGGGTCTGTGTACAGAAAAATGTCTGCAGCGGGGCTGGAGACCTATAAATACCATGGTGCAACCAAAATATTGCAGTCTGGTCTCATTCATAGTAGAAATTCTGAAGATCTCCATTTCATTGTCACAGCTTGCACATTTCCCAAATCCGAATATACGCATGTTACTGTACACGGAAACAGAATCGAGGAAGACGGCGTGTAAACAGCCCCTTAGTGTCACTATTTTGCTTCTTAATTTGCAGTCATCTTGCACGATGGTCATCCAGTGAGAGTAAAAGCGCTTGCAGAAGCCAGAGACGGTCTCCGCCCTCCTGCCGCAGGGACAGGACCCGCCACGGCCAAACCTCGCCTGCAGCCGACTAAGCACGTGCCGGACGGACCTTCAGCAACGAGGTCCCGGGGTGCTCACACCACCTCCCAGACAGCTGGGGAGACCTCTGAGAACCCAGCGCACACGACCAGAGCCCCGACAACTACCTCACAAACTGCAAAAAGCACCCCCCCCTCCAGCCCAGTTACCCACGCCCCGGCCACCCCCAACAACACAGGTGCCCCACTTACCGAAGCCACCATCAGGCCCGCCTCAGCTCCGCACTCCCAGCCGCCCGTGTCGCCAACCTCCGCACCTAGAACCAGTCCATCCACTGTCAGCCTCGCGACCGGGAAAACCACCCAACCCGGCGAGCAGGCCACTGTCTCCAAAACTTGGTCCACAGCGCCATACAAAAGCACAACCGGTCAGAAACCTTCTCCATCCACCCACACCCCGGAAACGTCCATAGCCACGCACAACGCCACCCCAACAGCCTCTCCTGCCACCACAGTTCCCGGGGCTACTCTGGCACCTGAGCCATCGTCTGCCAAGACCGGAATTTATCAAGTTCTAAACGGAAGTAGGCTCTGCATAAAAGCAGAGATGGGGCTACAGCTGATTGTTCAAGAAGTAAAGTCGGTGAGTTGGGGCCATGTCATAGAGGTTGCTCTGCCAGGAGTGGGCATTCTGCTGCATGCGCTCCTTAGGTGAAATAAACAGCTGAGCCAGTCCTTCCCAAGGAGTTCCATTAGAGGGTGAAGGTGGGGCCGGGGTGTAGCTTAATGGTGGGGTACTTGTGTAGTATGTGTGAAGCCCTGGATTTGATGTCCAGCACCACACACACACACACACACACACACACTCACACTCACACACACTCACACACACACACACACACACGGAATATGTTCTGGAGCATGTGAACATAGAAAGAGGGAAGGCACACACACAATGAAAATCTCCGTATGCACACTCCACACTTCCAACGGAGAGCTGGGGGGTGCTGGGAGGGTTGAGAAGGCCCAGTCTGACCCTACCCTGCCCTGTGCCTCAGCCCTTTCCCTGGGAGATACGAAATCCGGATCAGATGGTCTCTGTGCCTCCAGCCTGCGTGTATTAATATGAAAATCCAGATTAATAAGAAGATAGAGGAGGAAGGCAGGGCGCTCCTGTCCCACGGGAGCTAAAGTCAGGCTATGGAGAAGGGAGAGGGTAGCATCGATCCGGGGACTTTGCAGTCCTCAGGGGTCGCCCCCTTGGCCCACGCTAATCTGGGCTTCCCCGCCGGTCCACAGCCCTCTTCTACCTGCCCTTGAGCTGATCTACCTTTTTTGGTTTAGGTTTTTTCACCTCAGAGATACTTCAACATCGACCCCAACACAACCAAAGCCTCTGGCCATTGCGGCTTCCGAAAATCCAACCTTCTCTTGAGCTTCCCTGGAGGATCTGTGAATATCACATTCACCCAGGTGAGGCGGAAGCTGCCGGCCCCTGACCGGCGTGAGCGGCGCTTCCCGTCCCTTCCCCCACCCCACCCCGCGCCCTGTGACGCAAGCTGCACCCCACTTCAAGGCCCCGCAGGAGCAAGCCCAGGGCCTTTTGAGATCTTTGCTGATAAGAATGAGGGGCTTGGGATGGAGAGGAGGAAGTGTCAACATCTTCTGTTTGCCTTCTTCCCCCTTTGACCTCCACTGTGTCTCCCAGGAAAGGCTTCGCTGCCTCTCAGGGAAGGTGTGGCTTTGGGGGCCCCCGGCCACCAGTGCCCTTTGCTAGAGGAGCACTGCCGGGAGAAGGAAGTTGTACAGATGAGTAGATCTCCAGATTACTCTAAAGCCCAAACAAATGTCAGAATGGGTTCTTTCCAGCCGCAGAAGGCAGGACTCAGGGACTCCCCGGGCGCTGGGCTTTCCGGGTGCCCCTGGGGAGGGGCGGGCAAGATGTCGGGCAGAGTGTGAGGGTGCAGGGCAGAGGCAGCTGCAAAGCCGACCGCATCACTTGCTCCTTCTTCAGCATCAGGCGGGACCCTTCCACACGGGGGAAGGAATTTGCGCTCACCTCTGTGAAGAGCGTGCCCGACACACAGGGAGGGGTAGGTGTTCCTTCACCAGCGGCTATGCTAACTGCGGTGACGACCACAGGGAGATGCCTGGGGAACCACAGAGCCCGGTCATCCCACTGTCCGGGAGAAATCTGCCACCTTGAAGGACCCTGACAGTGGGGACCGGTGGTCTGCTCTCGGGGCGCTTACAGCCTGCTTCCTCATCTGTACGATGAAAATCGTCCGACCCACCTAACAGGAGCCCTGCGAGGACTAGAAGTGACCGCGTGTAAGCTCTAGCCGCGTTCGGTGCATAGCAATTGTCAGTGGACAAAATTGCAAGACTTCTAGCTGAAAGATTTGGTTTGGCTTGGAAGTGTGATTCTGGAATTAGCCAGGCCCTCGTCTATAAAACAGCGTGAGGGTTTGGCTGGGCTGAACAGGGGAGGGTGGCCGTATGCATAAACGGAAGGGGAAGGGGCGAGGCAGGCAGAAATAGAACAGAAAGATGACAGTCATTTCCAAGTGACCTTTGTAAAGGTTAAAGCTGAGGGGATTTCCTCATGGTGCTCGCTAATCTGGCTGGTGTGGGGATTTGGCTGGTATCTCTCCTGGTTCTGAGACGATAAGATAAACAACCTGCTTGGGTTTGGCCACCTGGAACGTCAGGGTGTGTGCATTAATTCCACTTTGGTTTGGTCTGTTAGGCCCCATGCAGCAGCTCAGTCCAGCCCAGTAGCCACCTATAAATCATACTCAACACCCTTATTTTGTTCAACCAAGCATGGTGATTATTATTATTGTTGTTGTTATTAATTTGTTTTCCAGGGTTTTGTCCTCCTGGTGCGTGCTTTGCTCTAGAAGGTAGAGGTGTGTGAGAAGTCAGGGTTTCCTTTTGGTTCCAAATGGAACAGACATAATTCCTCACCCCAGAGCCATTCAAAGTAGAATAAGTAGAGCCGGGTGTGGTGGGTAATCCCAGCACTTGGGAGGCTGAGGCAGGAGGATTGTCTCGAGTTCGAGACCAGCCTGACCTACAAAGGGAGCTCAAGGCCAGCCTGAACTGCATAGCGACACCCTGCCTCAAAAAGACAAAAACAAAAACAAAAAAAACCCCACAAAGTAGAATAGGTATTCTGTCTACCTGGACTGTTGAACTTACTCTATTAGAGGTGTCAGGAACTTCTGTGCAAACCGTCTTAACAAGGTGACAGAGGGTGCACACAAAAGCATTTATGCTTCAGTTCCGGGCTCGATTCCCCCGTACCCCCACCCGCCCAGACCGCTGTGTGAGGCACTACAGAGCGGAAAGCGTCAGAAACCCCAGGCTCTGCGGCCACCGGAGCTGCCGGGACCAGGGCGCAAGCAGAACTGCACCCAGGAGCGCCTCCTGCTGCCTTTGAGCAGAACTGCACCCAGGAGCGCCTTCTGCCTTTGGGCTCTGTGTCCCGATGCGCTAACCCTGCCTTTTGGATGCCTTTAGCCTAGATTCTGACCAAATTCCACTCACACGTTGAATCCCTAACGTGAAAATGCTCTGTGCCCATTGCCCCGCCCTCCCTCCAGAGGCAGGGCAGCAGGTGGGGGTCCAGATGCAGGGCAGCAGGTGGGGGTCCAGATGCAGCTGCCTCCCGGTCGGCCATGTCTCCCTCCTCCCCAAAGCACTCTCCAGCTTTGGCCTCGTGTTGCACCAGCTGCTTTTGTTCCACTAACTGCTCGCGCTGCACTAGCTGCTTTGCTGGGGTCCCCCACCCACCTCACCCCCAGCCCAAACCCCTCAGGCAAAAAGAAGACAAAGAGGCCCCTAGAAGATAACAATTCCCTCCAGCCTGCCATCCTGGGGCGCTTCTGCATTTTAGATAATTTGTTTAAGTCCCAACAGAGGACCATACACTCAAGGATCACAGGAGCTAAGTACACAGCTTGAAGAAGGTTACAAGGGCTGGGGATTTAGCTCAGTGGCAAAGCTCCTGCCTGGCAAGTGCAAGGTCATGAGTTCAATTCCTGGTACTGGAAGAAAAACAAAACAAAAAAAGAAAAAAAGAAGAAGGCTAGAGTAAGTGCCTCTTCTGCCTGGAAACAGGTAGACTTACTTCTCCAATTAAAAAAAATTAAATTTGGATGTCCAAAACTCATCTTCATCAAAAGTTGAAGGTCAGAAAGGTTTTCTTTTTCCCTTCTATTAAGGGAAGTCAGAAGAAGAGCGTTGGCACCAGCACCATGCGGTTAAGCAGCCGCTGACAGCATCTGGGTAACACCGAGACAGAGGAGGGACAGGGCCAGTGTTTGACCTGTTTGTCCTTCCATTCCTTCATGTCCAGGTGTCCGTTCTGAGCTGCTGCCAACAGAGCCAGTTGTTCAATATTTTACATACACCTCTCTCAAGTGATGAGAGCCTGACTGCCAAGACAAGGCAGCCATCCAGATCTTTTTTTAAATGTTAGCAACATTCTGGAGGGGGGTCTTTTTTCGTTTGTTTTTTTGAGTCAGGGTCTCACTATGTAGCCCAGGCTAGCCTCAAACTCATGGTGATCCTCCTGCCTCAGCCCCCCCGAGTGCTGGAATTATAAGTTTATGCCACCACACCCAGCTAGCAACATTTTTTTTTTTAATTCTAACACCGTACTGCCCAAACAAATATAGCTATAGGTCAGATGTAACCCATGGACCTTGACTCTGGTTCCCCTAACAGATGTATCAGACGAAATGCATTGAAACAGGAAAGCCTTGTAGATTCTTTATCTTTTTCTTTCTTTCTTTCTTTCTTTTTCTTTCTTTCTTTCTTTCTTTCTTTCTTTCTTTCTTTCTTCTTTTCTTTCTTTCTTTCTTTTCTTTCCTTCTTTCTTTTTTGGGCATGTTTTTGAGACACAGTTTCACTATGCAGTTTAGGTGGCCTTGAACTCA